CAGGTCGTGATACATCTTTGTGCTCCCGGGATGGGCCAAGTAGGGTGCGGTATGTGCCTCTGATAAAATCTCCTTCCGCAACGCCTCGACCTTCGGGACCACGATTCTGCCTATGAACTCCAAGGCACCATCGGCACCTAACTGAAAATCCCTGACACCTCCGGCGCGAACCTTGGCCTCCATCACACGAACAAACTCGTCAGAAGCCTGCTCTCGCCGGATTCTCTCTCTCAGCGTCGGCTGAAGCTGCATAGCACTGATACTGGCACTGATACTTCCCGAAACAGCTATGGGAAGTGCATCTATCACCTGAAGCTGCATCCGGGCAAACTCATGAATCAACGGACTCTGCTGCGTAATGACGTACGTCAAGTCACCCTTCACATTTCGGCTTAGGGCATCTGCGACGACGTTCGCCTTTCCCGGATGGTACTGAATAGAGCAGTCGTAATCCTTAACAAGTTAAGCTCCTTCTGCGTGAAGATGTACTGCAGGCTCTTATGGTCGGTGAAAATCTCGCAACGTCCGCCATAAAGATAATGTCGCCAGATCTTCAGGGCATGAACGACTGCTGCTAACTCCAAGTCGTGCGTAGGATAGTTCTGCTCATGAGGCTTAAGCTGACGTGAAGCATACGCAACGACCTGTCCGTCCTGCATAAGGACACATCCCAAGCCCTGTCTCGAAGCATCGCTGAAGATAGTGAAACTTCGAGAAGGATCGGGAATAGTCAACACCGTTGCTGAAGTTAATCTCCTCTTGAGCTCCTGAAAGCTCGCCTCACAACGATCAGTCCATTCGAACTTCACAGACTTCCTCGTCAGCTGGGATAGAGGGAGGGCGATCTTGGAGAAGCCCTCGATAAACCTGCGATAGTAACCAGCTAAACCGAGAAAACTGCGAACCTCGGACGGACTCCTCGGTGTCGACCAGTTCTGAACGGCTGAAACCTTCGAAGGATCCACCTCCATGCCTGCCTGAGTAATCACATGACCCAGAAAGGATACTCGCTGAAGCCAGAACTCGCATTTGGAGAATTTGGCGTACAACTTTTCTCGTCTGAGGGTTTCGAGAACCACCCTCAGATGCTCCTCGTGCTCTTCTGGCTCTTAGAGTAGATAAGGATATCGTCAATAAAGACAATAACGAACTGATCGAGGTAGGGATGAAAGATACGGTTCATAAGGTCCATGAAAACAGCTGGCGCATTGCTGAGACCGAAAGGCATGACGACGAACTCGTAATGGCCGTAACGAGTCCTGAAAGCGGTCTTAGCGATGTCTGACTCCTTAATCTTCAGCTGGTGGTAGCCTGATCGTAAATCAATCTTCGAGAACACACAGGCTCCCCTCAGCTGATCAAACAAGTCGTCGATCCTGGGAAGCGGATACTTATTCTTGATCGTCAACCTGTTAAGATCTCGATAGTCGATACACATACGCATGGATCCGTCCTTCTTCTTAACAAAGAAAACGGGTGCTCCTCAAGGTGACACGCTCGGTCGGATGAAACCGAGTCGTAACAGCTCCCAAATCTGAGTCTTAAGCTCCTGCAACTCCTTAGGCGCCATGCGATATGGGGCTTTAGATACTGGACCGGCCCCTGGGATGAGATCGATAGAAAACTCCACCTGACGGTTGGGCGGTCCTCCTGGAAGCTCGTCTGGGAACACGTCCACAAACTCGCGAACGATTGGAACATCATGAGGTGTCCGCGCTTTCTGAGAATCGTCGACAAGGCTCACCAGATAACCCTGGCAGTTGCCTCGTCGCAATAGCTTAGTGGCTTTCGCCATCGAAACAACCTGAGGCAGTGAACGATTCCTGGAGCCCAAGAAAGTAATCGACTCGTCTCCCGGAAGATAGAGAGTGATCTCCCGGTCATGACACATGATGTCTGCATGATAGAAGGATAGCCAATCCATCCCGAGAATAAGGTCGAAGTCCCGCATCTCGAGAACAAACGCGTCGGCAGTCAATACTCGGCCACCGATGGAAAGGCTAAGATCTGAGGCTTTAGCTGAGGTCACTATCTTTCGTCCCGAGGCTAAACTTACCTCGAGAGGATCGACAGCGGTAACGGCGTGAACTCCGATGGCATCGAGACATCGTCGTGAAATGAAAGTATGCGTCGCTCCAGTATCGAATAACGCGAACACAGGAATATCATTAAGAACAACCATCCCTGACATACTACCTGGCTGTTGTGCTGCCTCTGCCTGATCAACTGCGTAAACCCTGGCCTGTTGTCTGCCCCTCTGCTGCTGCTGCTGCTGAGGTGGCCTCTGTGCCTGCTGACGTGGCTGCTGCTGCGGTGGCGGCTGCTGAGGCTGCTGCTGGAGTCTCTTCGGACAGCGACTCGCAAAATGTCCCGGCTCATGGCAATAGTAGCAGATGTCCTGTCCCACACGACACTCTCCCCTGTGAAGTCGACCACAAGGGCACGGTGGAATCGGCTGCTGTCTCTGTCGAGTCCTCTGGTCAGTCTGTGCACCCTTTCCCTTCCTCTTCTTCTCCTTTGCTGGCTGAGGGGCTGGTAGAGCTGGTGGAGCTGCAAACGGCTGAGCTGTGATACATGGCTAGGCATGATCACGGACTGCCTCCCTCCTGATGCTAGCGTCCACCTCCTGGGCGATAGAAACTGCACGAGCGTAGGTCTGAGTGCCGTGTCCCACGATGTTGTGACGAACTGCTGTATAAAGCCCGTCGATGAACCGCTGCGCTCTCTGAGCCTCCGTGCGAACAAGATCTGGTGCGAAACCTGCAAGTCTAGTGAACTCTCGCTCGTACTCATCAACAGTACGAGTGCCCTGCTGAAGCGCTAAAAACTGGCGCTCCATCTCTGCCCGATAGTAGGAAGGGTAGTACTTGTCGCGGACTAGCTCCTTAAACATGTCCCATGTACAACCCGCCTTTTCAC